AAAGAGAGAGATGTTCTACGACCTAGCAGAACTGTTTGAGAGGAGTTCGTTGTGTTCCTTAACCGGAAAGCATAAGGGCCTCACTATTTGGATGTCGAATTGGAGACATCAAAGGCATCCCGTGATAGTCCGCGTGCAGCGTACTGGACAGGTCTGACGCTTCTTCTTCGCGTGCCACCTGCATCCAGGCGACCATACTTGTTCAAAGTAGACATCTAGTATATACCGGCATAATTCAAATTGAGTAGTTGGGTTTGAAAGTCGAGTAAAATGAGTACTTGCGGATGTATGCTTTCAACATTTCTTTCAACAAACTATTTGCCTCGATTTATTTTACACATATAAAAATTTCCGTGAAGAAAGCGACTGGGTTACTTAGCAAGGTGGACATCCTTAATACTTCTGCGCGATATGGTATAGATGCGTCTTTATTTTCTAGAAATCTCAAATGATTATTAAAGGTGCTCTTAACTCCTTTTGTAAGCGTTCAGAGTTTTTAGTTAGAGCTACATTTTCAGCCAAATTTCCATTTCTCCGGCTCGTTTGAAGTAGGGCATTTATAATCAAAATTAGTGTTCAGATTTATGTCATCTCAAATCAGCTTCATAATACTGCTTTGTAGATCTTCTGTGATTTTGTGCGATACTGAAAGGTTGCGAATATTCATCGCGGTATGCCCCTAATACATCATCATAAATATTTTAGAGCCACTTTCTGAGCGGTAATGTAATGGAGGTTGATTCCATCATAAATATAATTCGTTTTCTCATTCGGTACTTTACTGATTTGTTTTCAATATTGTTTTTGTTTTTCAGATTTTCGGTTTTCGTCAATTTTTTGGTTGTAGTTGGAGGAAGTGGCGGTGGAGACGAGGAGGTTTTAATTTTCCAAGTTGAGTGATTGTATTGTGTGTTTACGGCGTGGCAACCAAAGTGTTGGACAATAAATTTTGAGTCTGCAAATTAATGATTATCAGTTAACGAATTCGATTGTTTTACTATATTGATACATGGGGCGAATAATTTGTCCTCTGCTCTTGGAAGACGACGGCAAAATATATTTTGACACTTGTTGTACTTAAATCTAGCACAGATGAGATGACGAAGATGAATTTGATGATAACGATGAAACAGACAGAGACATATTTTCCAAGTACTCTCAAAGAAATTTCCGGTGTTGATTAGAGTTTCGTTAATGATCTCATTTTGTTGAGTTGCTTTCCAAGTATACCAGAGCGGCCATATGATGATTTTGTAGTGGTTATCATCAGATGCAATACGCTGAGCTAATGGATTTAAATTATTAATATTATATATGATTGCAGATTTAACGAGGTAAACTGGAAGCGGCCATTTTTATAACACCATATTTTATGTAGCTCATACAAACCGGAGTTTTCAAGTTGAACAATTTAGTTTATTATTCGAATTTTATTATGACGTTGTACACAATAAAATTCGAATAATAAACTAAATTGTTCAACTAAATACAAATAATATTTTAATTCTTTAATTGTTTGGTTGCTGTTAACGTAGGATGTGCTTTTTAATATATCGGGTGCAAGTTTTCATTCACTAGTCATATCATCTAAAGCTACACTGTTGCACGGGGTTTTTCCTGTTAACTTAGAGCAATCAAGTTCTTCAATCCGAATACCGTCTAAAGATCTCACACGACTAAGTGCTACATTAGCTTGTCCAGCAGCAACCAGTCGCGAGTCTAGATAAACAATTGCATGATCAACTGTACAACCTTGCATCTTGTGGACGGTTGAAGTCCAATTCAGGATTACTGGTAACATTCGTCTCTCGGCAGTTCCATAGCTATATTTTACTGGAAATTGTATCGATACCGGTTTAATCGTGTGCACACCATCTGAACCGAATCGCACACCATCGGTCAATATTTCTGTCAGTTTATATAAGGAATTTTTTTTTTCGCTTTTTAGTTTGAAGTGGTTTAAAAGCGTGTTTTTTAATTTTTTAAACCTATATTATTTTTCTCCTTTTAGCCTAATGTTCTTTAAGTTCATATTTTTTAGTATTTTAAACCATACTTACTATTAATCACACGTAGTTTTTTCACTTTCTTTAAGGATGCGTTTGAGTAAATTTTTTATTCAAATGACAGCATGGATCGTTGATGCTTTAAGCTGCATAGCTTTAGGGGCATTTTTGGATAGTACCTGCTTTTAGCTGCATAGTTTTATAGTCGATGTACGATTTCGTCCATTTTCAAAGTGTGTTATAGGAATGGCTGGGTAACCTCACATAACAAAATTTGGTTGACATTAGTTCGATAGTTTCTAAGATATAGGATTTCACCTAAGGGTTGGCGGTGCCACGCCCATTTTAAAATTTTTTGCGTCGTATTAAACCAGCAGAAACACCGTGATAATACATTGTCCAAATGCAATATATTGCTAGCCGAGTTAAAGAACTTGAAGCTGATTTGGATGATATAATCATTGATTGTTTGAATGACAAATCTACTTATGTACCGAGCGGAAAACTTTCACAGTCCAAGCGACCATCCAGACAAAGGCCAAACCAGCTTTAAGTGGACAAGTGGATATAAGCAGCGTACGTTATTTTAGTTGCTTTCAACATGGCATCAGAATGCTTGTACGGCTCCCAGACGTCCACCGAATTCATGCTTCATGTGCTCCGAAATCGGCCACACACGCCAAAACTGTCCTCGTTTCGCTACACCAGGAAACAACCGAATATTGCAGCCGCTGTAGGAGATGATGCAAATCCTGAAGTCCGTCAACAGGCAGAACGATTTTCTTCAAATAATTTGGTGAGTGTTGCCTTCCTCAATAAAAAAAAGTGCACTTATATTGAATAATTCCTCTTTTTGCTTTATTTGATACTGGCGGTCCCATTAGTTTCATAAAACGGTCTTACGTGTCATAATCAGTAAACCCCAACAGGGAACAAAAGTTGACACAATATCGTGGAATCGGTAATAAGCAATTAAGAATTTATGGCATTTTCACATGTAAATTTATATTTTTTCAGCAAGAATTGCTCCACAATAATGCTATTTTGCCAGATTCAGATGAGATTTTACCAGTGCTGGTTGGGCGTGACCTTTTGAACAAAATGCAAATAGCATTGGGCCAAACAAAGACAATTAGTTTTAACCCAAATGAGTTATTTAACATAAGAGCTCAAAATAAGTTTTGTGTTTCGGAAAAACTTGTTCGTGCACTTCGCTTTCTTGATTTATATAGAAGCCCACTAGCTAGTTGCCAGTCTGCTACCACTGTACAATATATATGCACAATTAAACGAAAAGTGTCCAGACACTAATGGGTCGGAGGTTAATGGTTACTCAATGCATATTAAATTGAAGACTAAATCCAGTGTACAGTAGTGCGAGAAGACTCTCGTTTATGGAGAAGTTTGAAATTCAAAGAACAATCGATGAGTTATTGGCTCAGGGAACTTTTTGTACCTTTTATATCGAAAACATTTAAAAACTGTTTTAATAGGTTTACTAGAGATCTATTACAATTATGTGGCTAAGGTAGCCATTATTTTAAACTATTCAATACAGTAATTGTTATGAATAAAAGCAAAACATTGTGCGGTTAAGAATAACCCCGCAGATTACTTCAGTGAATATTGATACTACTTTTCATCGATTTGTTAAGCTCAAAAACCTTTTTATCGACACAAAANATAATTTTGATAACGTTCTTCGAGAAAGAAGTACGTGTGGGCCTCAGTAAGTCAGGAATGCTGAAAGGAATCAAGATTGATAAAATACAAGAATTTACTTTTTTCGGGGAAATTTTTTAAGTGAAATGATTAGAATAAATGAAATTAAGTGAATGGTTAAAAGGGATTCTGAATGCGAATGTTGTATTTGTTTGAATTTATAAGTACAAAATATATTGATTTTGAAAAATGAAGTGTATACAAAAACGAGTCGTGTTAGTTAGACTATTAATAACACTAGAACGGTTTAACCGATTTGGCTGAAAATTGTTGAGGAGATAGCTTAGAACTTAAAAAAAAATAATAATAATTGCAACTGCAAGAGTACAGTAATTTTTGTACATATACATAAATATATGGGTTATAGTGGATGTTGCTACTGAAAAAGGCTGTTTTTTTTTAGGACGCGCCATGTGGAACCGATAAGAAATCGCATGGATCGACAAGGCGTTGCGGCTACTTTGCTAAATTATCGACGAATGACGCAGAGGCACTCAAAAATAACCAAACGCAACTTCTAATATAAAAAATAGCGGAATAGAGCAGTGTTGATAAAAAGTTCAATTATAATTTGAGATGAGAGCATAATAGCTCACAAATATTCCCCAAGCATTGCACAGAACAATGCACGATTTAAACGGCAACGATGAAGTTTTCAGTGGTGCTGTCTTATCATGGATGGTGAAACACTTCAATGGACCATAAATGTGTGCAAACAATTACAAACTGATCCACCCTAAGAAACAATACAATTTAACAAGTACGCAGTGTATAACGAAAAAAAAGCTTAATTAATTGAGAGTACGTTCCGAAAAATAAAAATTAATTATTTTGGATCAACTAACTACACTAGCGGCCAAAAATGTAGAAGTTGATTAAAATAGTTTCCAGTTGCAATAGTTGTTGCAAGTTACCAGATGCATTTTAAATAACTACTGTTGATGATGAAATTGGAACAATATATTATCTAGAATCTCGGAATTTCATCACATAATCTTAGGTTAAAAATTGGTTCACCTATTATTATTCAGCGTAACTTGAATCCATCTTAATTATGTAACGGTACACGTTTGGTAATCAAAAATATTACTGTAGCAACCATTTTGACTTGAAAATTTAATGGAGAAATGGTCTTCTTGCCACGTTTTCCAATGATACTGCCAGATGTACAATGCAATACAAAAGAGCTAAATCAATTTGAATTTGAAAATGTTTATAAAGAAAAACTATGAATATTATTGTTAAAAATTAAGAATGATCTACCTTCTTCCATTACTCAAATGTTATCAACTAACAACTTTGAAAATTACTCATTAGTTACCAACTTGAATATAAAGTTTATAAAAAAAAATCAACATAATATATTTAATATTTCTTTGAGCTTAATAACAAATCGATGAAAAGTAGTATCAATAATTTTCTAATTTGGAAGTAATCCGCGGGGTTATTCTTACACCGGCAATAACGTTTTCGTTTTTATTCATAAATACAATTTTACTGTATTGAATAGTTTATAAATAATGTATACCTTAGCCACAGCAATTCGTGTACGAGATCCTCTAGTAACCCATTAAAAACGAGTTTTTTAAATGTTCCTTCGGATATAAAAGGTGCCAAAAAATTTTTGTGGGAGAAGTGAATTCGATAACCATAATAATTGTCAATAGATAAATGCGTTTAGTTGAATATAATCCAAATTTTTTTTACGCAACATTATTCTATTCATTTCACTCAAACTTTTTCATTATAAACTAATAAATTAAGGCCCACTTTACTTTACACCAGCTTTGACTGACAGAACCGTTTTCGCCAAGTTGTGGTTAGTCACTGAGGAGAGTCGATGAAGTGTAACAGCTCACTTTCATGAATGTGGTCAGTGCCTGTCACAAAGTTCACTGGCATCTTTTGCTGTCAAAACCGGTTTTCGTAAGCGAGGGGACGAGGAGGAAAAACGAAGAAACGCTATGTGATCTATTTCGTAACAGCTCGTTGCTATGCAATTCGTCGTTTTCTTTTCATTTTAAAATGCGTTGCATGGTTGCAACAGAGCTCGGTTTCAAAGGAATATTTACATAATTTTCGGAAATATTAAGGTTATTACCTCTTTTTTGTATGATATATGCATATATGAATGCAAATATGCATATAGGCATTTCACAAGCTTTGTCTTATGTCTTATGTCGTATTTCAAGAATCTTAAAAAATACGACACATGTGAGCACCCCTTAATTGTTGTATGTCATATTGTGTAATATTAATACACTTCACCAGCTAGTAGTAAAAAAATTAAGAATACAAAATGGCCACGAGAAAGTAACAAGCATAAAATGATAGCTTCTTTATGTGAAAATAATGCATTAGGAGTTGAATCAAGTAAGTATTTGTATACATTTCTTCATTATACAATACAAATATTTACACTTTTGCAGGTGAGGAAGAAGACGAAGCCATTAAATTTTTTTTAATTTTAGGCACTTAAACGTCAACAATAAAAACGTAAACATATACAGCTGAAGGAATAGTACACTCAAAAAACATACCTCGCCATGTTGTATTTGTCGTATTTCAATTTTGCATGGGAAACAACAACAGTGTTGATATGACAGTCATAAAAAAATAAAACAATATGGCGATATGACACAATATGACACCTTGTGAATACTCAAATAACATATAATGAGAATGAACGACAAAAAGTCCCCGTCCGAAAGCCATTTATGCTGCTGATTTTTACTTAAGATTTTACAGCGGACAGGTGTCATTTAATTTTCTGGTTAGAAACTAACCAAGGCTCCTTTTTTCGGAACAGTTTACCAGAACTTAACTGACAGAATGTTGCTAACCAGATATTGAGAAACCATTTTTCAACATGTTGCCGATAAAGTGAGTTTAATTTTCAAGTTGATGCTTAATTGTATTGTATTGTTTGGCGCATTAAAAAGTTCAAACAAACATCAAATCAAAGCTGTTTACTGATGGTAGTAACACAATTTTCTATTATTTAGAATGGAATTATCAGGAAAGTCGTGAAAACTCCCGTTTGTATGAGCTACATAAAAATAAGTGTTATAAAAATGGCCGCTTTCCAGTTTACCTCGTTAAATCTGCAAATGGCACAAGATTATTTTTATAATTTAAATCCATTAGCTCAGCGTATTGCATCTGATATAACCACTACAAAATCATCATATGGCACGCTTTGGTATACTTTGAAAGCAACTCAACAAAATGAGATCATTAACGAAACTCTAATAACACCTGAAATTTCTTTGAAGTACTTGGAAAATATGTCTCTGTCTGCTTCATCGTTATCATCAATTCATCTTCGTCTACTCATCTTGTGCTAGTTTAAGTACAACAAGTTCAAACATATTTTGCCGTCGTCTTCAAAGAGCAGAGGACAAAATTATTCGCCCAATGTCAATAATAGTAAAAACATCGAATTCTTAAAATGATAATATTAATTTGCAGACTCAAAATTTATTGTCCAACACTTTGGTTGCACGCGCTAAACACACAATACAATCACATCAACTTGGAAAATTAAAACCTCCATCGTCTCCACCGCCACTTCCTCCAACTACAACCAAAAAATTGACGAAAACCGAAAATGCTGAAAAAACAAAAACAATTGAAAACAAATCAAGTAAAGGCTACCAATGAGAAAACGAATTATATTTATGATGGAATCAACCTCCATACATATACCGCTCAGAAAGTGGCTCTAAAATTATTTATGATGATGTATTAGGGGCATACCGCGATGAACATTCGCAACCTTTCAGTTATCGCACAAAATCACAGATTGATCTACAGAAGCAGTATTATGAAGCTTGTTTGATGACATAAATCTGAACACTAATTTTGTTATAAATGCCCCTACTTCAAACGAGCCGAGAAATGGAAATTTGGCTGAAAATGTAGCTCTAACTAAAAACTCTGAACGCTTACAAAAGGAGTTAAAGAGCACCTTTAATAATCATTTGGAGATTTCTAGAAAAAATAAACGACTAATACCTATATCGCCAGAAGTATTCAAGATTCCACCTGCTAAGGCAACTCAAGCGCTTTCTTCACGAAATTTTAATAAGTGTAAAAATAAATCGAGCAAATATTTGTTGAAAGAAAATGTTGAAAAGCATACATCCGAAGACTCATTTTTACTCGACTTCAAACCCAAACAATCAAATTTGAATTATGCCGTATATACAGATGTCTACTTTGAACAATATGGTCGCCTGGATGCAGTGACACGCAGAAGAAGAAGCTGCAGACCTGTCAGAACACTGCACTCCGAACTATCATGGGATGCCTCTTGATGTCTCCAATCGAACACCTATATAGTGAGGCCCGTATGCTTCCGGTTAAGGAACACAACGAACTCCTCTCCAAGCCGTTTCTACTGGGGTGTTTTCGTAGAAACCAGACAGATTGCATAGCAACAGGCTGTGAGCTCCCCTAGGAACGTCAAGAGGTCCTTCCTTGATTACGTCGACGATATCAGACAGTACGCTGACCGTACTTCGGACGCAACGAACTTTAGACAAGCTGACCGTCATTCACAGTGGACCCATCACGACCTTCACCGAGACTCCCTCTCAGTGAATGGCGTATTACGAGTCAAACCACCACCCATAGCAGATGTAGAGCTCGAGTTGCCTCACGAAACCAGAGTGACCCTCGCGCAACTTCGTTCTCGATACTGTAGCAGGTTAAACTCCTACTTATCCAGAATAGACCCCGACATACCAAACACATGTCCTGCGCGCAATGATTCTCCGCATGACACTAACCACCTCTTTGCATGCCCAACAAACCCCACTCATCTAACACCCTTCTCCCTATGGTCCGACCGCGTCGAAACAGCTCGTTTCCTGGGCCTCCCGTTAAATGACCTCGACGACAACGAACCTGGAATTAATCACCCAAACGGGGACCGTTACAACAATAACAACATATGTCAGTACTGTTAATTTACATTTGAATTTTTACATTCAGAACTATCCACTGATTGGAGAAAGACGTAAGCAGAGCTATTGAGAGGAGGAGATGAGATCAGATGACCGTCACTTTTCTTGTAGGGTACATAACAAATGTAAACAAATAGATGTGTGAACTGTCAATGAAAACTCATCGAAAACACACAATGTCGGTCAGAACGACTTTGGTTCCACAATCCACAAATTTTGTTTTCAAGAGGATTTCAATTCGGTGCGAACATAGTATTAGGACTGGTTACTTGTAAATTTATACAATGGTCGATTTTGCTGGCTCTAATGTAATCGATACTTATCGAAAAATGCAATCTCAAAAAGCCGGCAAGCATTTAAATAAAGGAAAGGTTTAGGAAAATTATCTAAATTAGATTATTCGATACACAACTATAGAACAGTAAAAGCAATATACAAAAGAACCTTTCATATAGAAAGAAGTAACGTTTTCATTAAAATTTTATTTAGATGTTTTTATTGTGGATGTTCTAACACATTAATTTCAAATCCAAATAAGAAGTAAATAATGGTAGGCCGTAAGATTTCTGACTATAAACCAAAAAGTCTACACAGCATATTGGCTGGGATTTAGAATAGCAACCCCCGAATGAGTTTAAGCTTGCTTAGTTAATAGGTAAAGATAGAGGAGGTTCTCCAACTTAGGGATATTTATACACATAGCTGTCGGTGACTTATGGTTTGTGAATCATTTGTATTTAAATTACCAATTTATAGTATGCAATTTTTCGATTTACGATGAATTTTACGCTTATGTTGTTTTATATTGTATATATCCACCAAACAAAAATGTGCGTGTGTGACACATTCTGAAATAGCATTTATTAGGGGAAAACTTTAGTATAACGTCCCACGCTTTCGGGGATAAAATGGATATGGGCGGATAGAGGAGATCCTCCAGATCAAGAATATATATAGATATAGCCGCGGGAAACTTATAGTTTTCGAGATATTTACGTTTAAAGTTGAAAATTTCAACTATTTAAAGTACGTATTTTTGCGATTTAAAATGAATTACACACTTATATTTTCCACTTTTATATCCACTAACACTTCACTAATTCGTTTGTACACATTTATTTTACATTATATAGTGCAAAAATAGTTTAATTCAATAATTAAATTATTGTTAAATTCTATTAATTCTGACAATAACAAAAGGGTTGCAAAATTTCAAATAACCAGTGTTACCTTATCGACATCTTTTGTAATTGAACTGAAAGAAATTAAAACAGATAATACCCCAAATACAGGAATCCAAAACCTAGAGAAATAAACTATTACAAAGCATTGATGTTAAGTATTATGTTATACCCTCTATGACAATATTACTTTTTTCTTGTAGAACTTTTTGCGTTGGCGGCCTTCGGCCGCGCTTCAAAAAAATAACCCTGGTCGATCCAACAACGGGGTGTATCAAAGTTTTTTTGCGCAGAACTTATTTTTGCGTTAGTGGCCTTCGGCCGCGCTTCAAAAAAAAAATAACTCTGGTCGATCCAACACCGGAGTGTACCAAAGTTTTTACGCGCAGAAATTCTTTTTGCGTTGTTTCCCGTATCTAGGATACAATCTCTCTGTTAATTTTATTTTTCTTCGTTTGCAAAATGTATTAGTATGGCAACACTGATGTTTTGACATTCACAACCATTTTGTTATTGTCAAAATTAATAAAATTAAAGAATGATTTAAATATTGAAATAAAGCTATTTCTGCAGCATCTAATATAAAAAAAATTTCTAAAAACGAATTAGTCAAGTGTTAGTGGATATAAAAGTGAAAAATATAAGTGTATAATTCATTTTAAATCGCAAAAATACGTACTTTAAATAGTTGAAATTTTCAACTTTAAACGTAAATATCTCGAAAACTATAAGTTTCCCGCGGCTATATCTATATATATTCTTGATCTGGAGGATCTCCTCTATCCGCCCATACCCATTTTATACCCGAAAGCGTGGGACGTTATTCTAAAGCCGACCCTTTATTAGTTTTACAATTTTTGGGCTTCAAACACAAATCTCTAAAAAAAAATCAGGGTGGGATATGTGTATATATTCTTGATCTTATTCGTCCATACCATCAGATCTCTGCTCCGGAGAAACCGAAATTTTGCCCTATATTCTCAATATGGAAAACCTGTATCCGTAGGAAATAGGAGAGGTAAATTTTATTTATGCAATATTTAATATAAAATAAATGTGTAAAAACGATTTAGTGAAGTGTTAGTGGATTAAAAGTTAAAATTTAAGTAGAAAATCCAATATAAAACGAAGAAACGGGGTCTTTAAACCTTTAAATGCAAATAGCTCAAAAACGTAAGTCAACGGCAACTATGTATTTATATATATTCTAAGTCTGGAGAACTTCTTCTGGGTCGGCTTTAGTTAAGCATCCCACGATTTCAGGGTTAAGAGGAGTATGGTTGGATAGAGGAGATTCTCCAGATCACGAATATATATAATTATTACCGCCAATCCAATACCATAATTTATCAATAGAAGGGAATGAACAAAATTATAGTTCATGTATTTGGGGTATAATCCTCTTTTATTGTTCATATTAATTCGTTTTCAAAATATAAATATATATATATAATAGATATGGCAACACTTGTTAGATGTCAACATGGAACCCATTTGTTATTGTTCATATAACGAAAATTGTGTAAAAATAAAATGCTTTTTTAAAGCAAATATTTAAATATTTAATATAAAATAAATATGTAGAAACATTGTAGTGAAGTGTTAGTGTATAATAAGTCGAGAAATTGTAAAATAAAATTTGTGAAATTTTCAACTTAAAATGCAAATATCTCGAAAACTAAAAGTTTTCGGCGGCCATTCCTCTATCCAACCATACCCCTATTGAACCTGAAATCGTGGGATGCTAAACTGAAGTTTTCCCCTTCTTCTAACCGTACATACCCATTTTAACCCCGAATTCAGGGAATGTTTTCTAAATCCCAGCCAATAGGAGGACTCAAAATCTTTCTAACGCCGTATACCGTAACCGGATCCAACTTTTAAAACGCGAGATTCTCATTACAAAAGCCATCTATTGGAAAAATAATGGATTTCTGGTGAACTGACTATACAATTTGAAGAGTACGAAAATATGTCAAAAATATTTTCTATTTATGCATATGAACATATTCAAACATTTGATTCGCTCCTTTATGAAGCACTATTTTAAATATTACTTTGGTAAATTTATAGTTTAGGTCCCCCAACTAAGGAGGCCTCAAAACTGAAATTTTTTTAAATCGTCTTATTTAGACGCGAATATTACAAATCCGTGAGCGGGCAGTGAATTTTTTCAATAATTTTTTTTCAAAAAAAAAACAAACCAAAAAAAAAGCTTTTTTTTAATACACATGCATTAAAAATAAAAAATTGTGATACATTAAAATTAATTATTTTATTTTTTCCGCTGCTGAAAGGAGTTTGGTGCAAAAGAGCTATAAACACCCCGGTGTTGGACCGACCAGGGTAATTTTTTCACAAGAAAATGTTTAACGCACTGAACTGGTAATTACAGCTAATTCATCTGAATTCTGAAGAACTTTGCCGCTACAACAAGAACAACAACTAAGTGACTTGAAAAATATGTGTAAAGTGCGTTAAATATATTTATAAATATACACATAGCCAATAAAGTCTGCGTTCACCCGACACTGTTTTTTAAGTGAAGTAAAAACAATGTAAATAGGTATTTCAGTTCAAATTTTGTACATGTATTTCTTCTTTATATTCTTAAGTTCAAAATGCAAAAACAAAAATTTTATATTCCTTTTTTCATTTTTGAGATAACGGGATTTTAGTGTAATAACAAGTAAATATAGGCACCAGAAAGTCTGCGTTCAGTTAGCTTGAATTGGAAATACCGTTACTTCTCATGAATTTGTTCCTTCATTTTGCGTAGATTCTATTGTGTTTGGCTGGTGACCACAAATTCAAAGTCAAGAGGCAAGTTCAGGCATCCATCTCGAGGTGCCCGCATGTGACACATAAATATTTTATGGAGGTTATGAAGAAAGGCCGTCCTTCCGGGATATGTTCACTGCCGTATACATCAACCATCCAAAATTATCAAAAGCGCAAAAATTGTATCACCTCCGATACAAAACTAAAGGTCAAGCAGGCGCAATAGTAAAACAGTTCGTACTAAATGACGACAATTTCAATTTGGCTTGGGAAGCTCTAAAATCTAAATATGAAAATGAAAGAATATTGGTCGATAAACAAGTAACGACACTAATAAACTTGTCTAAAATTAAAAAAGAAACAAGTGAAGAATTTGTTAAACTACTATCCACCGTTTCTAATTGTTCTACCGACACAAAATATTCCCACAAACAGCTGGGACCCTATACTGGTAAACATATGCACCGCTGCATTACCAGAAAAATCGTTACTTTTGTGGGAGCAATCGCTTTCATCACGAAAGATATGCCCCACGTGGCAACAAATGAAAGACTTTCCAACTACCCAGTACGAAATTGCTGAAAGGGTAGATAAAAAACTAATTAAAACAAAAATTGTTCAACACGACCTAAAAAGAAGCTTCAATAGACCCCAAGCTAGTAGCAAAACCAAATTAAACAGAAGCTTGTACGAAACACAATCGTTCACATCCGAACAGAACAATCATACATCTTGCGAACTATGCACGAGAGGGCATAAACTACAATCTTGCGAGATATTTAAAAAATTAAAAATTCACGAAAGAAACAATTTTATAAGATCAAAAAGACTTTGTACAAACTGCTTGTCACATACGCATACACTTAAAGAGTGCGAAAGCAAATTTAATTGCGGTTATTGTCATAAACGACATCATTCTATGCTTCATTATAACAATTTTTCCAAAGCAAGAAGCATAGTCCTTCCGCAACTTACTAACATGCTTCCAAGCTATCACATAAATAGCAAGCATTGGCAAAAGGTTTCACACCTAAAGCTAGCAGATCCCAACTGCAACGCCCCCGCTCAAATAGATATTATAATAGGCGGCGATCTCATACCACAGATAATACTCGAAGGCATTGAGAAAATTTCAAATACACTATTGGCACAAAACACTATATTTGGTTGGATTCTAAGTGGACTAGTTCCAGAACCAGTTTCCACATTAAGAACTCAAGTTGACGAAAATTCAAAGAATACCTTAATTCACAATCAAGGAAATTTCGGGAATTAGAAAAATGCCACCTCATATCAATTACAACCCCAGAAGATCAGTATTGTGAAGACTTCTATAAAGCCACAACTACTCGATCAAATAATGGCCGGTACGTCATACGACTACCACTAAATTTACAATGTTCCAACACTGCACGAATTGGCAGAAAAAACAAAGTCAGAGTCCCTTCTGACAAGATCAGTTTTAAAAACACAAATATGTAACTTTTCGACCCCGCAGGATGGCTCTTGCCAATAATGATACAAAAATCCTGATTCCAAAAGCTTGAGATATGTGGCGCGCTCCTACTCGCCAAATTAGTGCATACGCACTTTAACATATATCAAAATTGTCTCAAAAAAGTCGAAAAATTTACATATAACAAATTGTCCTCTAGTAGCTTACTTTTTCATAATATAATCATATAAAACAATTTAAAAATAAAGTTAAGCGGTCACCATACTCCCAATGCGATACAATGACGCACCAAGCTTTACAACAAGCAAAGGTCGCTCTAATCGCATATATCTAAGCCCTCCTCGTATTGGTGGTTTATGGCAAATACTTGTACAAATCCCCTTAAAACGCTCGCAATATCCCTCTTCAAAGGTTTCAATGGAGCACCCATTCTGGCCATATCTGAGCTAGGCGTGGAGTCGCCATCCTATAAGCCGATAATAAAGTAATAGTAGATAACCGGCAATAAAATGAATAAACAAAATTATACCATCTAATAATACGTCGGCACAACCACCAATCTAATAAATGCAAAACAACGTTGCTTGCTTAACGCACTAACTTCCAAATCAAAACACATAATACCCATTTCAAAATCAAAATTCCATCCTACACGTACACTTAAATATGGATCTACCACTACTGCATTATCATGCACACCGCGCGCTCTGCTACTCAAAAAGCAGTACGCCGAGATACCTGGAACGTTTATGTGCAACACTAGGGAAAATATTCGCCTATGTTTAACTGAGCTAAGCCTCAGTAAATAACCATAATACTCTACTCATTTGGATGATATAATCATTGATTGTTTGAATGACAAATCTACTTATATACCGAGCGGAAAACTTTCACAGTCCAAGCGACCATCCAGACAAAGGCCAAACCAACTTTAAGTGGACAAGTGGATATAAGCAGCGTACGTTATTTTAGTTGCTTTCAACATGGCATCAGAATGCTTGTACGGCTCCCAGACGTCCACCGAATTCATGCTTCATGTGCTCCGAAATCGGCCACACACGCCAAAACTGTCCTCGTTTCGCTACACCAGGAAACAACCGAATATTGCAGCCGCTGTAGGAGATGATGCAAATCCTAGAGTCCGTCAACAGGCAGAACGATTTATAATCTTAGGTTAAAAATTGGTTCACCTATTATTATTCAGCGTAATTTGAATCCATCTTAATTATGTAACGGTACACGTTTGGTAATCAAAAATATTACTGTAGCAACCATTTTGACTTGAAAATTTAATGGAGAAATGGTCTTCTTGCCACGTTTTCCAATGATACTGCCAGATGTACAATGCAATACAAAAGAGCTAAATCAATTTGAATTTGAAAATGTTTATAAAGAAAAACTATGAATATTATTGTTAAAAATTAAGAATGATCTACCTTCTTCCATTACTCAAATGTTATCAACTAACAACTTTGAAAATTACTCATTAGTTACCAACTTGAATATAAAGTTTATAAAAAAAAATCAACATAATATATTTAATATTTCTTTGAGCTTAATAACAAATCGATGAAAAGTAGTATCAATAATTTTCTAATTTGGAAGTAATCCGCGGGGTTATTCTTACACCGGCAATAACGTTTTCGTTTTTATTCATAAATACAATTTTACTGTATTGAATAGTTTATAAATAATGTATACCTTAGCCACAGCAATTCGTGTACGAGATCCTCTAGTAACCCATTAAAAACGAGTTTTTTAAATGTTCCTTCGGATATAAAAGGTGCCAAAAAATTTTTGTGGGAGAAGTGAATTCGATAACCATAATAATTGTCAATAGATAAATGCGTTTAGTTGAATATAATCCAAATTTTTTTTACGCAACATTATTCTATTCATTTCACTCAAACTTTTTCATTATAAACTAATAAATTAAGGCCCACTTTACTTTACACCAGCTTTGACTGACAGAACCGTTTTCGCCAAGTTGTGGTTAGTATATTTTGTAAACGAAGAAAATAAATAATAAAGACATTATATCCTAGATACACGAAACGCAAAATTTCTACCGCGTAAAACTTTTTGCTGTCAAAACCGGTTTTCGTAAGCGAGGGGACGAGGAGGAAAAACGAAGAAACGCTATGTGATCTATTTCGTAACAGCTCGTTGCTATGCAATTCGTCGTTTTCTTTTCATTTTAAAATGCGTTGCATGGTTGCAACAGAGCTCGGTTTCAAAGGAATATTTACATAATTTTCGGAAATATTAAGGTTATTACCTCTTTTTTGTATGATATATGCATATATGAATGCAAATATGCATATAGGCATTTCACAAGCTTTGTCTTATGTCTTATGTCGTATTTCAAGAATCTTAAAAAATACGACACATGTGAGCACCCCTTAATTGTTGTATGTCATATTGTGTAATATTAATACACTTCACCAGCTAGTAGTAAAGTACAAACAATTGGTGAGAAATATTAGTGACAAAAATAAAATTTCTTTATGTTGAAATGGCGGCGTTTTGGTTTTTACTTTTCTTTAACTTAATTTACTGGAATATCATGGTTTCCTTCCATATTATTAAAGAAATTTATGAAATTTAATTATTTTATTAATTTTAGGCACTTAAACGTCAACAATAAAAACGTAAACATATACAGCTGAAGGAATAGTACACTCAAAAAACATACCTCGCCATGTTGTATTTGTCGTATTTCAATTTTGCATGGGAAACAACAACAGTGTTGATATGACAGTCATAAAAAAATAAAACAATATGGCGATATGACACAATATGACACCTTGTGAATACTCAAATAACATATAATGAGAATGAACGACAAAAAGTCCCCGTCCGAAAGCCATTTATGCTGCTGATTTTTACTTAAGATTTTACAGCGGACAGGTGTCATTTAATTTTCTGGTTAGAAACTAACCAAGGCTCCTTTTTTCGGAACAGTTTACCAGAACTTAACTGACAGAATGTTGCTAACCAGATATTGAGAAACCATTTTTCAACATGTTGCCGAAAGCTGACTCGAGATTTCATTCTTGATCAGAATTTAACTCCATTGGAACACCGAATCTCGTAACCCACTTGCCATGTAATCAAAGCTGTTTACTGATGGTAGTAACACAATTTTCTATTATTTAGAATGGAATTATCAGGAAAGTCGTGAAAACTCNCGTTTGTATGAGCTACATAAAAATAAGTGTTATAAAAATGGCCGCTTTCCAGTTTACCTCGTTAAATCTGCAAATGGCACAAGATTATTTTTATAATTTAAATCCATTAGCTCAGCGTATTGCATCTGATATAACCACTACAAAATCATCATATGGCACGCTTTGGTATACTTTGAAAGCAACTCAACAAAATGATCATTAACGTCCTAATAACACCTGAAATTTCTTTGAAGTACTTGGAAAATATGTCTCTGGTCTGCTCATCGTTATCATCACAATTCATCTTCGTTCATTCTATCTTGTGCTAGTTTAGTAACAAGTGTCAAAACATTTTGCCGTCGTCTTCAAAGAGCAGAGGACAAAATTATTCCCAATGTCAATAATAGTAAAACATCGAATCGTTAACTGATAATATTGAGACTCAAAATTTATTGTCCAACACTTTGTGCACGCGCTAAACACACAATACAACACATCAACTTGGAAAATTAAAACCTCCATCGTGTCCACCGCCATCCTCCAACTACAACCAAAAAATTGACGAAAAGAAAATGCTGAAAAAAAAACAAATTGAAAACAAATCAAGAAGGCTACCAATGAGAAAATGAATTATATTTATGATGGAATCAACCTCCATACATATACGCTCAGAAAGTGGTCTCTAAAATTATTTATGATGATGTATTAGGGGCATACGCGATGAACATTTGCAACCTTTCATATATCGCACAAAATCACAGATTGATTTAAGAAGCAGTATTATGAAGCTGATTTGGATGACATAAATCTGAACACTAATTTTGGTTATAAATGCCTCTTCAAACGAGCGAGAAATGGAAATTGGCTGAAAATGTAGCTCTAACTAAAAACTCTGAACGCTTACAAAAGGAGTTAAAGAGCACCTTTAATAATCATTTGGAGATTTCTAGAAAAAATAAACGACTAATACCTATATCGCCAGAAGTATTCAAGATTCCACCTGCTAAGGCAACTCAAGCGCTTTCTTCACGAAATTTTAATAAGTGTAAAAATAAATCGAGCAAATATTTGTTGAAAGAAAATGTTGAAAAGCATACATCCGAAGACTCATTTTTACTCGACTTCAAACCCAAACAATCAAATTTGAATTATGCCGTATATACAGATGTCTACTTTGAACAATTTCGTGAAGCGGCGGGTTGCCTTTCTTGGTGGAATCTTGAATGGCTACAGCGTGCCGCACTCCGGACTATCACGGGATGCCTCTTGATGTCTCCAATCGAACACCTAAATAGTGAGGCCCGTATGCTTCCGGTTAAGGAACACAACGAACTCCTCTCCAAACAGTTTCTGCTAGGGTGCTTTCGTAGAAACCACTCCTGTAGTCGCCTGCTTGTAGCGGAGCCGCCTCCTAGGAACATCAAGAGGTCTTTCCTTGATTACGTCGACGACATCAGACAGTACGCCGACCGGACTTCGGACGCTATGAACTTCAGACAGGCACTGACCACCATTCACAGTGGAGCCGTTAACACCTTCATCGACTCCCTCTCAGTGAATGGCGTACTATGAGTCAAACCACCAACCACCTATAGCAGACGTAGAGCTCGAGGTACCTCACGAAACCAGAGTGACCCTCGCGCAACTTCATTCTGGATACTGTAGCAGGTTAAACTCCTACTTATCCAGAATAGACCCCCCGACATACCAAACACATGTCCTGCGCGCAATGGTTCTCCGCATGACACTAACCACCTCTTTGCATGCCCAACAAACCCCACTCATCTAACACCCTTCTCCCTATGGTCTGACCGCGTCGAAACAGCTCGTTTCCTGGGCCTCCCGTTAAATGACCTCGACGACAACGAACCTGGAATTAATCACCCAAACGGGGACCGTTACAACAATAACAACATATGTCAGTACTGTTAATTTACATTTGAATTTTTACATTCAGAACTATCCACTGATTGGAGAAAGACGTAAGCAGAGCTATTGAGAGGAGGAGATGAGATCAGATGACCGTTACTTTTCATGTAGGGTACATAACAAATGTAAACAAATAGATGTGTGAACTGTCAATGAAAACTCATCGAAAACACACAATGTCTGTCAGAACGACTTTGGTTTCACAATCCACAAATTGTGTTTTCAAGAGGATTTCAATTCGGTGCGAACATAGTATTAGGACTGGTTGCTTGTAAATTTATACAATGGTCGATTTTGCTGGCTCTAATGTTAATCGATACTTATCGAAAAATGCAATCTCAAAAAGCCGGCAAGCATTTAAATAAAGGAAAGGTTTAGGAAAATTATCTAAATTAGATTATTCGATACACAACTATAGAACAGTAAAAGCAATATACAAAAGAACCTTTCATATAGACAGAAGTAACGTTTTCATTAAAATTTTATTTAGATATTTATATTGTGGATGTTCTAACACATTAATTTCAAATCTAAATAAGAAGTAAATAATGGTAGGCCATAAGATTTCTGACTATAAACCAAAAAGTCTACACAGCATATTGGCTGGGATTTAGAATAGCAACCCCCGAATGAGTTTAAGCTTGCTAAGTTAATAGGTAAAGATAGAGGAGGTTCTCCAACTTAGGGATATTTATACACATAGCTGTCGGTGACTTATGGTTTGTGAATCATTTGTATTTAAATTACCAATTTATAGTATGCAATTTTTCGATTTACGATGAATTTTACGCTTATGTTGTTTTATATTGTATATATCCACCAAACAAAAATGTGCGTGTGTGACACATTCTGAAATAGCATTTATTAGTTTTATATATGTTTACGTTTTGTTGTTGACGTTGGTGCCTAAAATTAATAAAATAATTAAATTTCATACATTTCTTTAATATGTAAATGAAACCATGATATTCCAGTAAATTAAGTTAAAGAAAAGTAAAACAAAACGCCGCCATTTACAACATAAAGAAATTTTATTTTGTCACTTTCTCAGGGCATTTTGTATTCATAATTTTCTCTAGCTGGTGAAGTGTGTGTAATACACAATATAACCTTAACAAAGATAAGTACTCATAATATCATATTTTAAGATTAAATCTGGCTCCTCCCGGAACCTCAGAACTCGCTGTAAATACCCTACCTGCATATTTGCGATCCTGCCATATATCATACAAAAAGGTAATAACCTTAATATTTCCGAAAATTATGTAAATATTCCTTTGACAAACTCTATTGCAACCATGCAACGCGTTTTTAAAATGAAGAAAACGACGGGTGCATAGCAACGAGGCTGTTGCAGAATGGATCACTTAGCGCCTTGTTTTCACTCCTCGTCCTCTTACGAAAACCGGTTTTGACAGCAAAAGATTCTTCTTCTAAATGTGTTATACAGTTATGCGTGTTCTGAAATACAAGTTTGTTCACAATAATCAAACTATTTGTGATAAGCTAACCACAATTTGGCGAAAACGGTTCTGCTGTCGGTCAAGAAGCTGGTGTATTGAAAGTGGTGTAATTTTGTGGTTTATGTGAAAGTTTGAATTGAAATGGATAGAATGATGTTGCGTAAAAATTTGGTTATGTTCAGCTAGAGCGTTTGTCTATTGACGAGTTGTTATGATTTGTCAGATTTAAGCTGCTCACGAGATCCACTGCTACCTATATCAGAACAACTAAACTCATTTCTCGATTACTAAAGAATCATACAAATACTATACTAAATATAATATTACAACTAACTATCTGATAAATTGTATTTAAATAAAAACAAAACATTATTGCCAGTATAAGAAATAACCCGCAGATTACTTCAAATAGAAAATTAATACTACTTTCATCGATTTATTGTAAGCTCAAAGAA